TTCAAAAATAATGCGAAAGTTTTTATTTTAAATGTTTAATAAGTAAAAAGCAGAAGATTGTTTTAATTCAAATCTTTTCAGGTCAACTTTTCTTTCTGAAAAATGTTCACCTTTAATTTCACAAAGAGTAAATGACTAATTTCCATCTTTTTTTAAAACAGAAACAAAAAATATCCTATATTTTGGTAGAAATACTCTAATGAAATCATTTAATGAAAATAGTCTTACAGTTTTAAAAGTTGATTTATTCAGTTTACCAGGCAGTATTTATGGGAAACTTACTCTAGGATCATACCTAAAAACGAATAATTATGTCTCATATTTATCATTAGCTCATATTTTTATTTCCCTAATTATGTCAAAAATATCCTAAGACACTTTGTATACAGATTTTATTTAGCATTAAGTCCAGATTTATACTCTTCCACTGAGCTAAATCTCCAACTCCCAAAATAATGGTTTATTCTAATGCTGTCAGCATATGTACTATATTGACTGGTATTCTTCAGTAAGGTAGATTAATTCCTTTTTGCTTTCTCTGCTTCTCTTTTTTATGGCTTTTCTCTAAATTTGTCATAATTCTTTACTATCATTCCTTTTTTGTTCAAACTGTGTCTTACTTTGGCAATACCTTTGTCGTATTCTATATCTTCCATAAGAGCCATTTAACCTTTCAGCACTTCCTCACTTAGGATGTTCTTGGGTCACCTTGTGATTTCCCTGCCCTAGGGCTTTAATAAGACATTTCTTCAAGGAGCTCTAGTATTATAAATAAAAAATGGAATTCAGAAACTACAGACTAGGACTCAGTGCACCCATTACTATTAGCAAGTCATTACTTCTGGGTTCTTACAGTGAACATAGGTAGAAAGTAAAATTTAATTTTTAAAAAATGAGTTTGAATTACCATTATAATTCAAACTTACAATTATCTTTATATTTGTTTGTCTTAACTGTATACAATAGGGAAACTTAATATAACAAACATTACAAATATTTTCTTTGTCTTTTGGCTTTGACGTCTCAGAGGATTTGTGTCATCGAAGCCTGGTTTTAATTGGGATACTCTGCCTGTTGGTTTTGTGACCTTGGGAATATTACCTATCATCTAATTTTCATCCTGATAGCCACTGTTTCCTTTCTTTAAAATGAGGTCCTCTTTAGTGTTTGCTAACTATATTAGAATTCTTTATTAGTGTTTTCCATTTGATCTGTTTTTAAGGGATGCTTTAATTCTCCATTGGTCTCAGTGCTATTGCCATCTTTGTTACTTTTGTATTCTTCAGGTTACTGAGGCGCCTCTTAAAGTTGGCTTTTTGCTTTCTTTTTCTCTTCATGGTTTCTGTTCCCAAGTGTACTGACAGAAATTTGCGTTGTTACCCAAACGCAAACAGGTTTCTCTTCAAAAGCCTCATCAGTTGCCATTTATAGCCAACTCAATAATTTAGCTTAAAAGCCCAAGTAGAAGTCTCTGACTTGATAAACCAAGAACATTAATCTGAAAGATATTGACAATTCTGCAGGCATTTATCATTTCCACTGGCTAAGAGCATTCAACAAACCTGAAAACTCCATTTTCCCCCCAAACTTTTGGAAGAGACTTGATCAACCTCCATAGGTCTTCTCTTAGCCTCAAGTACAACTAAGCCCTTTCTGGCTCACCTTTAGCACTAACATACTGGCACTGATTCCCAGGACAAACTTCTTGCTCATACTCTGATAAACTTTTTATCAGGAAGAGGGTTGATAAATTATAGAGTTAGCCAATGTACATAATTTCAAACTTTAAAATCATTCGCATGAATAGGAAGTGTACTCATTACCTTACTCATGTAACTGTAACCCTCTGTATAGTATCTTTACAATAAAAAATTTCAAAAAATCATTCGCATGAAAGAAAATGTTCACCTAGAAAGTGGAAACATTTATCACAAAGAGAACTGCAGAGGTAAAGATAAGTTGAACTGCAAAATTGAGGATAAAATTTATCTGAACACAGAATGGTCTTATTCCAGAGATTAAAGATCTCATCAAGGAAAAATAAATGATAAGAAAGACACATTAGAAATATGCTAGTAAGATTACTAACTTCCTAAATAACAGGAAAATACTACAAGCTTCCCATAGGAAGACTAAGTTGTTTCCTTAGAAAAGAAAATCAGCTTAGCATTGAATTTATCTAAAATACTAGAAGTTAGATGATAGTGGTCTTACACAGACAACCAAAATAAAAGAATTTTTAATCCAACAATCTAATATTCAATGGGTCTTTGGCTATACAGTGATTTAGAGTGTTCTATATAAATGATACAACTGAATTAGAGTAGAAATCTCAAGGCATCGGAGAAAAAACTTTTTTTGTTAGGCATAGTATAAAATGTTAAATTTTTTTCTTACATAATTTTTGCTTTATAAATTTGTAATAATTCCCATGCATTTTTGTAGGTGTGAATAATGATTTACATCAATAATCCAGGAGAAAAAATAATGTAAATTGCATTTTGGTTAATATGTACTTACTGTAATACTGAGAAGACCTTACATATAGTCTCAAGAGAACTGGACACAAAGAAATCTAAATAAAGGGCTTGGAAGGTGGCTCAGTGGTAGAGCGCTTGCCTTGCATGCATGAGGCCCTGGGTTCGATTCCTCAGCACCACATAAGCAAAAAAAAAAAAAAAACCATAAGTGGCGCTGTGGCTCAAGTGGTAGAGCGCTGGCCTTGAGCTGAAGAGCTGAGGGACAGCGCCTAGGCCCAGAGTTCAGGCCCCATGACCGGACCCCCAAAAAAAAAAAAGAAAAGAAAAGAAATCTAAATAAAATGAATTGCAAGAAGAGTTACAGCTCAATTCAAAAGGCAATCTGTTGTCAAAATTCCCTTCTCTCTGAAGAGGTCAGTGATTTTTTTTAAAGCTTCAAATGACTTGATAAAACCACTTAGATTAGGAAGGGTAATCTATTTTACTCAAGACCTACTGACTTAAATGTTAATCCTATCCAGTAAAAGCCTTCAAAGGAACATCTACAATAATATTTGACCAAGTGTCTGGCACAATGGCTTAGCCAAGTTGATAGAAAATTAACATTACAACAGCCTACTCATTACAAGTTTTCAACTATTGTTATACTTTAATAAAAGTAAAATGAGGCACACAAATACAGATTTTTTAAAGTGAAATTTACTTAAAATAGCAAGCTATTTTAGAACATTTTTCCTTAAGTTATTTCTTTTTTTTCTTAAGTTATTTCTTTTATTTAAGGATATAGATTTGAAGATTTGATTTTTATTCTTTATGTTTACATAATTTTAAAGTTAGATTATTTACAATTAAAGTTACTTCCTAATTAGATAATAATTTTAAAATCAGTAATTAGCCTAGGTCAATTTTATAGCAGATTACAAGTGAGGACACACACGTAAATTGTTAATTCCTAAACCTATCACATGACCTCTCTTTCAAGAGAGTAAATGTGTCATGCCAAGCCATGAAGACTGACCACACGTAAGACAGAATCTGGTTCATTTGCTGTATATTTTTTAAGACAAGACATCTCTGTTTTATTAAATGTGAAGTTTGAAATAATAAATGGGAGAGGTGTTTGTTTGGTATTTTTGGCTTTGAAATAGTGTTTTTAATGAAACAAATTTTTATGTTGTTTCCTATTGCTTTGTTCACCTTAAATATGCTCTTCCAAAGTAAGAAAGGCAGTTGTGTTCTATTCATCTCACTTAATCCTTTATCTTTAATAAAAATTAGTTACATGCTTATAAAAGAGAAAAATTAATACTTTGAAGTAGGAATTTTGTTGATTTTTATTAACAAGGAGAATGTTTCTCACTCTAAGAAGTCTTGGACTGTTATTTGTACAGACTATTCTAATACCCTAACTCACATGTACGTATGCTGATGAACAGAGATTGGAAAATAAATGAGACCCACAGCTGTGTATAGTTTTAACTTGAGCTTGACTGAACCAGTTTCTTACAGATGAGATGAAATGTGTCAAATCCTTAAAGGCTGCTTATTATAAAGAAATGCAATAAAAGACACTGGGAACAAAAAGATAAAAGGATATTTCTCAAGAATTTGCTATAATGTTACCATTGTAAATGAGAGACTTAGAAGAACTTTTTTTCCCTCAAACACTCCATGGTGATTGAATAAATAATAGACTATGTCATAATAGGAAGTCACATCAAAGAAAAATCAAATAGATATATCCTTTTGAGAAAATAAGAACAAGTAATCCCTTTCATAGTCCTTATGATATTTTACTATAAAAATTAAGACCTCAAGTCAGCAGTGACAGATAATAGTATAATTTTTAGTAGAAAACAGATATTGACACATGTTAACTTACTACTGGATGCCCCGTGAATGGAAAAATTGGCTTAGCTACAGTCAGATATCTTAGCTAAATTCACCAACTGTTTCTGACCAACGAATTCATGAAATCGTTCAGAAAGATACTTCCATCTGAGTGGAGCTTTTTTCTTATAAATTGTATATTAGAAATATCTCAGGATGTTGGGTTGTTGCATAGGAATAAGAACACCAGTTCAAAGGAACTCAGCAAGACAAAGTTTACTTCTGCACAAGGTTGCACCATCAGCCAAAAATCTGGTAAGCAAGCACACCGAGCATGCAGGCTGCTCCCTTTTTATACCCAACTCAGCAGAACCTGCCCCTCTGCTCACACATTAGCTGAGCTTAGGCTCATAATCTGCAAAAGGATGTGGCTTAATTAATAGGAGCAACTAAACATCAACAAACTTCTAATTAAAGTTCTCAGGAAAAAGATGCATAACTAAAATGTTTTTAACAAGAACCAAGCCACCTGGCCAAAGCAGGAACCTAAGAAAAACAATTTTCTCAAATTAAAGAAAGGAAGTAAACTACTTTGGTAGAAAAGAGCTTTTCTCATATGTATGAGGCAAATATATTAAAAAGATGGATAGGCATAATAACCAGATGTATCTAATTCTTTTCTTTCCACAGGAATTATCAGCATAGAAAGAAGGCCTTGTAACCATCAGGTAGATTCACCACCAACGGTAAGACAATCCTTCCTACATTGTTAATACTGTTCAGAAGGGTGGGAGATGTAACTCAGGTGATACATTGTCTGTCTAACATGCTTGAGGACCTAGATTCACACACACACACACACACACACACACACACACACACTCACTCACTCACACAAGTGGTAGAGTGCTAGCCTTGAGCTGAAGAGCTGAAGGACAGCACCTAGGCCAGAGTTCAGGCCCCACAACCAACAAAAAAAAAAGGAAAAAGAAAGAAATTACAAAGGTGTATTAGGTGGTATGGTTATGACACAAAATCCCAATGCAGAAAACTCTTAGAACCTTATCCCTACAGGAAAAGTAACTTCATATTTTCTAACTAATGAAGAAAATTTTCTTTTTCCAAGATTCAGGAAAACAAATACTTTTTCATAGGTCCCTGGTTATATTAATTTTAGTAGAGTTTGTGGTTTTATTTAAAACAAAGCTCTTTAAAAATGAATTTTGTGGGGGGGAAGGAGGGAAGGAGAAGGATTGGGATGGGGGGGAGGGGGGAGGCTGGGAAGGGATGTGAAGGGTAAACAAAGGAGGAGGCTGCAATGCTTGGTAAGAAATGTACGCATTATCCTGCCCATGTAATTGTAACCCCTCTGTACAATATGTTCACAAATAAAATAAAATTAAATTAAAAAAAAATGAATTTTGTACAATAGTATATTACTAAATGTCTTAAAATAGTGGGAGAATGACATAATACTTAATTTCCAGGTTACTTTGCTTTTTTAATATAGAAATAAAATATTTTTATTCTATTACTAGATACTGAAAGGCATTGCATTACTATTTATTATATACTATAGATACTTTATGAAAGGCAGAAAATTAGATTTACCTAGTCTCTGAATATATTTATATGAAATATACATTAGTTGATAGTTTCCCTTGGGAAGATTCATAAGATGATGCAGAATGAAGTACATCTTACTTTTCCTTCAACATAATATTCTTATGTTTTCTATACAATGTCTTTCAAGTTTTTCATATGGTTTGCCATTTCCTATTGTGAGAAAGATATGGTAATACCTTTTTCTGAGGAAATAAAGATTATCTTAAGCCATATTTGAGATTTTTGATTAGTAATTACCTCACAAGAACATTGCCTATTTTCTACTTGTGAAAAATCCATATAATTGAGTAATTTAACATGTTTGATAATGTGAGGGACTCCAGAAAAGACTCATGTATGGGATACTAAAGGCACTGAGCTATATAGTATGTGTTTCAGGTTTCCTTGAGTAAATATACAAAAGCGTCATAACATTATAAAAGTTTAATTCTTTAATGCTAAATAAAAGATTGTCAATTAAGGAAAATTTATTTTTAATGTATGAAAATAATATATTCAGTTACTGCATTATTTTTCCATACTTTTGAAATTCATTTTGTTCCTATAGGTGTACCTGTAGGCACCTGTGCTTACATTTGTTTTGTTGGTACATTCTAGAACTAATGAAAGTACAACTCCACTCAGTTTTCTTGTTATTCCCTCGAGGCTGATTGTAGATCAGCTTGTGCTGATAAATTACAGAATAAAAAGGTCAAAAGAGAATGGACTAGAATTTCTGAACAGCTGATGCAGAGGGCCTGAGTGACTTCTTCCCCTGTACCTAATCCCCAATTTCCTAGGGCTTTGGTCTAAGGGAGTGATAAATGCAAGTTGCAGCTATTCAGCAGGTGAGGAATGAGGAATTGAGAATTTTTCAGGCCTCTGTTCCAGGGAATGCTATATATGTATATATGTATATAAATGTGTATATATATATATAAAACATGTATATATACACACACATATATGTGTAGTTAAAGAACCATAATGTAGTGTCTAGTATCCCTTAAGTAAATATAGATTAGACTGAGAAGAAAATCATCTGTTAGCTTGTCAAATGCTCCTGATTACTTCCTTTTTATTATTTCCTTCTTTAATTTTTATTAATTACATGAAGTCTTCTTTTTTTGCTGGTGTGAATTTTTTATCACTTAAAAGAATGTGAAAAAGAACATCCCTACATAGCATGAACCCTTACATGAAAAGGAATAAAAATTTTAAACTCATAATACCTCTAGTTTTACATAGTGAGCTCTTAATGTTGTTCATATCTAAGAATAAAATTTCAAACTATTTTTCAAGAAATACAAGTTGAGAGATGAGTTACTTAAAGTATACATACCTAAAAGTACCCTCAGTTATCTTTGCATAGGACATGTTTTTGTTTATTTAGACATAACATTTTCATATAAAAGCATGATAGTAACTGATCTTCTTTGCTTCTGGCATTTAGTGTTGTGGAAGAGACAATGATCATCAGCTGATTGTTATCATTTCATTTGAGTAATCTTCTAGGTCTACTTGTATATATTTTATTTTTATATAATGTCCTAGTTCTGATTTGATGATTAAATATGGAACGCTCTTCTCACTGACATTTTTCCTGAATATTTACTCACACATTGTACTGTTAGAGGAAAAGCAAATAAGGCATGTATGATATAATATTAGATTATATGAAAGGAATTAGATCATGCCACTTTAAGAACCAGTTCCTGCACCTGCTTATAGTCTGTGGCAAGGTAGGGTATTATCAGCCTCAGATTAATCAGAGGTCATTGTCTGCACCCTGAAAGGCAGGTGTAAAAGTGAGTTAATAGTTATGTCAGCACTGACTTAGTCTTTTATTTACTTTGAATGAAGGGTTTATTTGAAAATCAAAGAAAAACCGCAACTAGAAGGAAATGTTTCTGAGGAGGATAGCTAAGACTTATCTTCTCTTTAACTGTGACCATATGCATAGATTTCCATATATTAAAAGATACCAGGCTGAATATACAAGGAATCTTTTAGTGATTTGAGTATTGTTTTTAATTAATTTTATCTGAAACTGATATAATATTTAAATGGTATCAGTATGAGCTATTCTAATAAATGGCTTAAATTTTTGTGAAGTTCCTACATTTCAGACCTGTAATGGTCAATTAATATTACTCCTTTATTCTTATTCAGTGATCCTATAGCTCTTGATAGTGAGAACATGTTTTCTTTTCACAAACAGATTTTTGGGGTGTAAAAAATAATAGCTTTTGGGGGGTATAAAAATAATAGCTTACATTTTCAAAGAAACTGACACATACCAATTATGGAATATATGCCACTTGTCTGTTAACCTTAGTTATTAGGATTTAAAGTTTCCCTCCTTGATTTAAAATTTAAATATTGTCTCAGTATTATTCTTCGTATCAAACAAACTTTACAAGCTAGTAATTCATTCTACAATTACCATTCCATTTATATTTTCTAAAGATAGATGAATACATTTTTGTTACATTATCAGTAGTAAACCTTAATATGTTTTAGACTTATTTTGCTATTTCAGAAATATTTGAGATGTCCATGACGTTGACTATCTTTAACAATATATTTATTCATAAAGGTACTTCTGAGTTACAGAAATTAAATTGTTTCCTTAGTATCATGGATTGATTAATATTTATACTGATTCTGCAACATTTTGAATCAATGATGTTAGATTTTTTTTGTTTTTTGTGTGTGTATGTGTGTGTTTTTTTTTTGTTTTTTTTGGGGGGGTCTGGTCATGGGTCCTGATCTCTGGGCCTGGGCACTATCCTTCAGCTCTTCAGCTCAAGGCTAGCACTCTACCATTTGAGCCACAGTGCCAATTCCAGCTTCTTTTTTCTTTTTTTTGCTTATGTGGTGCTGAGGAATCGAACCCAGGACCTCATGCATGCAAGGCAAGCGCTCTACCACTGAGCCACGTTCCTAGCCCTTGATGTTAGATTTTATTGTTGTATTTAGGTCTTTAGGTTTATAGTTTGCTGTGCATTATATTATTACACTTTAAATGATATCCTTTATACATACATATGTAAACATATATATGACTTCCACATTTTAATGTAATATTTATAATAGTTTGTTCATGGATAAATGCATGAGTTCAAGTAAAATGTCTTGATTCAAAGGGTATATTTTATTTTCCCCAAATCATGGCATTTTCCAGGAATTCATAGTATGTAATCTGAAGTGAATATGCCCCTATAAAACTCATTAAATAGAACCTGTGGCCAATCTCTTCCTGTAGATAATTGCAGGGTGGAGAAGGAACCCATAAACTATAAGCTTTTATAACTTAAGTCATAAAAGAACCTGTTTTCACTTATCAATAAAGTAGTGGTTCTATTAAAATTCTATTGAAATTCAAATGTAATTGCAAAGTGGGTTCTCTTTCAAAGCGCTTATAGTTGTCCATAGCACATTTTTAAAAAATATCTTCACTTTAGTATTTTCTTCCATTCTTTATAATTTATGAATCCTATGTTGATTTCTTTTACTGTTAGCAAACTCCATTGACTTTTGTTTTTCCATTTTGCTTTGTATTTCTAAATTTTTTATCTAACAAACCTGCAATTCAGAAAATTATCAGAAGACAATAGTACATAGCATAGTGCTATACAGAGCCTTGTATAACAAGGCTTGAAATAACAGAATTATATCATTTGTTGTTTTAATATGTTTTTATATATAAAATATGTCTTTTGGGTAGAACTTGAACTCATTCAGAAAGTGATGTAAAATGAGAATAGTAATAGATGGATAACCAAAGTTCAGAGCAGCTATTGAAAGAATAAAACAAAACCTGTAATTTGAAAAGGAAAAAAAGTAACTTTCATGATTATAGAAATATCATTTTCCATTTGAAAAGAAATTTATCAAAATGTTACCAAACTATTGAAATGTTGGTGGCTCACACCTGTAATCCTTGCTACTTGTAAAATGAGAGTAAAAGGTCCAAGATTCAAGGGCAGCCTGGGCAAAAATGTTTGTGAGACTCTCAAAATAACAAAGCCAGAGGAGTTCAACCCCAGTAATGCCCCAAAAAAAGAGAAATGTATAGATGTGAAGGTAGGTAGGTAGGTAGCTATGAAGGGAGGGTGGGGAGGGAGAGGAGATAATG